GGTTGGGGGGTAGAGAGTGAGGGGGAGGCTATGTGGTGTGTATGCATGGGGTGTGTTTCTGTCCCACACAGTCCAACTGTGGAGAGGGAATTGAATTCTATCTCTGTTGGGCAGGGTGTCTGGGCCAAGTTTTAGCCCACTGGGCCTCAGTTTCCCAGATGTGCCAGGAGCTAATTGTTGTATGTTGTAGAGTCAATCCGACTCAGCCACCCTGGGGGACAGAGGAGAACTGCCACAAGAAGTTCCCTGGAATCATTGGAGGAGCCAGCAGAGCCGCTGGAGGTTCAAACTGCTGACCTTTTGGTTAGCGGTTGTCGGCTTTGGCCATTGTGTCCCCGGGGGTCCTCCCAGGAGCCAGGGACTCACCATTTGCTGCGAGCCCCATGGAACTCATGGCAGGAGAGTCTCATGGAGATCCTCGGGATCAGACAAGCACAAGGGCAAGTCCTTCCCCCTCTGGGGCCTCAGTTTCCTCAGCTGTAAATGCACCTGGAAACTGGGCTCTGTTCTCTCCTGGCTTCAGGCTGAACTAGTCAAGGGCCTTGGCAGCTGCCCAGGCCTCATCCACCGCCTCAGATGGCAGATTTTATTTTCCCAGTAATGTTCAAGTAGTGCCCCTTCTTTAAGCTTTAGAAGATAATTGGGTAAAACACATGTAACATTTACTAGGGGTAACATTAAGCAAATCCACCAATGTTTGCAACCCTCACCACCGAGCTCCAGAATATTGTCCTCCCTCTGAGAGATGATGGATGGATATTTGGGTGACTGTGAATGGTTTGCTGGGAACACTGGTGCCCACGATTCTCAGTACTTATTTTCCATTCCTCTGGGTGCATTGCCCAGGAAGAGAATTCCTGGGTTATATAGTAAAATAACCACACTTGTTCAATCTGTGTACTCAACAAGTCATCAGAGAAGCTGGATTATATGAAGAAGCGTGTGGCTTCAGAATTGGAGGCAGGCTTATTAGCAACCTGAGATATGCAGCCGCTACAACCTTGCTTGCTGAAATCGCGGAAGACTTGAAGCACTTGCTGGTGAAGATCAAGGATTATAGCTTTCAGTGTGGATGACAACTCAACGTAAAGAAGACCCACATCCTCACAACTGAGTCAACAGGTAACTTCATGATAAATGGAGAAAAGACTGAAGTTTCTTGTTTAGATCTCAATCCATGCTCATGGAAGCAGCAGTCAAGAAATCAAACAATGCATTGCATTGGGTAAGTGTCCTGCACAGACCTTTTTACAGTGTGGAAATCAAGCAGTTACTTTGAAGATTTAGGTGCGCCTGACCCAAGCCATGGCATTTTCATTTACTTCACATGTATGTGAAAGCTGGGTATGGAATAAGGAAGACCAAAAAAGAATTGACATAGTGAATGATGGTGCTGCCGAAGAACATTGAAAACACCATGGACTGCCAAAATAGCAAACAAACAGATCTGTCTTGGAAGAAGTACAATCAGAATGCTCCTTAGAGGCAAAGGTGGTGAGACTCTGTCTCGCATACTTTGAACATGTTGTCAGGAAAGACTGGTCCCTGAATGAAGGACATCATGCTTGGCAACACAGAGGGGCGGAGAAAAAGAGGAAGGGCCTCCACAAGATGGAGCCACAGGGGCTGCAGCAACGGGCTCAAACAGGACAACAGCTGTGAGGATGGTGCAGGGGGAGCGGGCGGGCCATGTTTGGTGCCGTTGTACATCGAGCCGCTTGGGGTTGGAACCAACTTGAGGGCACCTAACAGTGATGGCGAAACGACGGAGTCCTGGAGGCACAGCGGTTCCCACGGTGGCCCTGAAGGAGTTGTGGCGGTCTGCTTCCATAATATGATCACCAAGAAAGCCCTACTTCACCGGGGTCCCTCGGAGGCAGAAGAAAAGACACCCGACAACAGCAATAAAATGACAACTCTAAGTTTAGCTTATTGAAGACCTCCCAAACGATTTCCACTGGGCCTTCATCCCTACATTCCCACCAATATTGAGTGAGGGTTCCAATTTCTCCATATTCTTGCCAATACTTGTTTCCCTTTCTTCTTTTTTTTATTATGTTTACATTTTAGCCATCCTAATGAAGTTGAGATGGAGGCTGGTAATATTAGATTATTCGTTGGGCTGCTAACCACAAGGTCTGCAGTTCAAAACCACCAGCTGCTTCATGGGAAAAGGATGAGCCTTTCTAGTCCCATAAAGAGTTATGGTCTTCAGGAGGGTGGAGGGAAGGTGAGGGAGAAAAGGGGGAACCGATTACAAGGATCTACATAGAACCTCCTCCCTGGGGGACGGACAGTGGAGAAGTGGGTGAAGGGAGACGTTGGATGGTGTAAGATATGACAAAATGATAATTTATAAATTATCAAGGGTTCATGGAGGAGGGGGGAGCAGGGAAGAAGGGGGAAAAATTAGGAGCTGTTACCAAGGGTTCAAGTAGAAAGCAAATGTTTTGAGGATGATGAGGGAAACAAATGTACAAAAGTACTTGACACAATGAATGTATGTGTGGATTGTGATGAGTTGTACAAGCCCCCAATAAAATGATTTAACTATTAAAAAAAAAAGTTATAGTCTTGGAAACCCACAGGGGCAGTTCAACCCTGTCCTATAGGGTTGCTATGAATCGATATCAACTCGATGGCAGTTGAGTTTTGAATGGGACTGAATGAAGCAATATGTCACTGTAGTTTTGATTTTAAATTTCCCTAATGAACATCTTTCCATGGACTTGCTGGACATTTGGGTATCTTTTCTGGGTTAATGTCAAGTCCTTAGCCCAATTGTTGATTGGGTTGTCTTTTAACTGTTGAATTATAGTAGTTCTTGATATATTCTGGAATAGGTCCTTATTCAGACCTAGTGATCCTATTTTCTAATGGCATGCATTTTATACACGTGTCCTTCTTGCTCCCCACATGTAGAAGGCAGGGGTGCTTAAGGTCTTTAGCGCTCCCTGGGAACCCCTCAGCTTCTTTTCAGACTGGTTCTTGAGGAAAGAAAACTTGGCTCTCGTAGCAGGCCTTCCTGGGCACCTACTACTTGCCTGGCCCTTTGCTGGGTCCAGCCCTGGAGCCTTGTGCGCAGGGAAGAGGGACCTGCTGGCTCTTGGTAAACTGGACGGCCAGGTGGAGGGAGTGCTGTGTGGGGCTGGCGCGCCCTCTCGCGGCCATCTTGTGCCGCCAGCCGGGGAGGCCTTTGGTCCAGCCAGCAATGGCCAGGATGGGGGAATGCCTTTTCTAAGTGGCCTTTCTGCTGTGGTCCCACCCCGGCACTGAGAGCTGTCCCTCCCTGTCCCTTCGCTGTGATTCCCATGGACCCCACCGCAGCTGCGTGCTCCGCCCCAATTACCATGGAGACCGCTTGTATACCACACCCCCTTTCCTTTTTCCCCTTACATCTGAGGGAGGCCCGCGGGCGGGCCGAAGCCACCTCTTTGGGAGCCCGTCAGGGCTGGACTGCCCGGGGCCCATGAACACCAGGGCCCCGGGGACGCTGGTTGTGGGGAGAGTGAAATACTTCGGCCGCCACCATGGCGAGGTGAGGCCCAGCCCCGCTCTGCTCAGAATCTAGGCTCCTGGCTCCGGCTGAGTCTAGAGGAGACTGTGTTAACGGGAAAGGTCCAAAGTGGACGCCCCGGCCCTGGGTAGGGGCTCTAGCCCCATTCCACCCTGGGTCTGGCTCGGGAATGGACCTAGGCTATGCTGCCACAACTAGGTTCTACAGAGCGGTGGGTTCTGGTTCTAGAATAGGGCCAATCGCTTCTCAGCCTTTTGCTAAGATCAAGGGGAGAATGGGACCAAGCTCTGGCCTCAGGCTCCTGGCGCAGTGTTTGGGGTTTGTCCTAGAATCTAGGATCAGAGATGAGCAGACAGGTGTGTCCTGTCTCTGGGTGGGATAACTTTCCTTCTTTGCTTCTAGGTCAACTCCTCCGCCTTCTCCCCCACCGGCCAAACGTTGCTCACAGCCTCGGAGGATGGCTGTGTGTACGGCTGGGAGACGCAGAGCGGGCAGCTGCTGTGGAAGTTGCGTGGTCACGCAGGTGGGGCTCCCACAGCCTGGATGGCGTCCGAGGCCCATGGGTCTGGCCTGCCATACTCAGTGCACACCGACCTGGCCTGGGCTCAGAGGGCAAAGAACCCGTGCTCTGTAAGGTCGACTATGAGTGGTATCAACTCAGTGAGTTTGGGGAGAAGAGGGCCCGGTGCTGTGGTGCCCTGGTGAAGTGCTCAACTGCCAACTGAGAGTTTGGTGGTTTTATGTCGACCCACAGGGTCGCTATGAGGGGGAATCGACTCTATAGTGAAGGTTTCTGTTTGTTTTTTTTTTTCCTTCTGTTTTGCTTGTTTCAAATAGACTGATACTTCAAAAACTTGGGGGAAATGGCAGTTATCTTTCAGTTACCCTTTCTCATCTTTTTTGAAGCCTCCGTACAGCAGTAACTATAGCATAGGAGAGAATACACAGGGCCTGGTACCCCAGGAGGATGCCATAAATGTAACTGTTACCCTCATCCTGAAAACCACAGGACAGGTGAAAATTAGCTATCCATAACAGGGTAAGTTCAGGGAAGCTCAAAGGTAGGGAAGAAGCTGGGCTGGGTCTTCTAGGCCTTTCTTAATGGAGGGCTCAAAAGAGGTCCTCATACAGGGAAAGCTGGGGAGCCAAAGCAGCTGGAACAGTTAGCAGGGGTTGGACCTCAGGAGTAGGGCGTGGAGGGCAGTATTGGGTCCCGATTATGGCACTGCCTCAGGTCCTGTGAAGTGCTGCCGCTTCTCCCCTGATGGCAACCTCTTCGCCAGTGCATCTAGGGACTGCACCATCCGCCTGTGGGATGTGGCAAGCACCAAGTGTCTGCAGGTCCTAAAGGGTGAGTGTGCTGGGTCAGCCTTGGAGCCAGAGCTGTGTCCTATGGCACCTCCTTCCCTTTCCAATGCTGGGTTGGTCCTTACAGGTCACCAACGAAGCGTGGAGACCGTCAGCTTCAGCCCAGACTCCAGGCAGCTGGCATCAGGTGGCTGGGACAAGAGGGTGATGCTCTGGGAGGTACAGGTGTGTGGAGGGTCAGGGCCCAGGCAGACACCTCCCTGTGCTGGCTGGCTGGCTTGGGGGGTCCCACAGCTTAGACCTCTTGCAGGTCCACAGATGACACTCAAGACCCCTCTTCTTATCTGGCTACTGCTCTGCCTGGGCTGCCCCTCTTCATTGTCCTCAGGCCCAGGAACCCGTCCTAGACCTTATGGTATTTAGCCTGGCAGTCCCCAAGGAGGCCCTAGGTTTGAGCTGAAACCTGGCACCTAGGTTTTTTGGTTGCTTCTCTCTAGTCAGGTCAGACATCACGCCTATTACAGGGGCACCAAGACTGTGTCCAGAGCAGTGACTTCTCACCCAGCTCCAACTGTTTGGTAAGCCCATGCTATTCCTGCCCTGGACCCCACCTAGGAGGCCCTATAGGAGTGATCAGATGCAGGGGATGGAATTCCAGACCTTAAGTGGGGGAATTCATGGGGGCATTCCCTCATTGTGAAGATGGGGGCCAGGCAGGCCTGTGATACTTTCCGAGTTGGCAGAGTGGGGCCAGGTGGTCTGGGCTCATAGCAGTGCCTCTAGGCCACCGGTTCCTGGGACTCCAGTGTGCGCATCTGGGACCTGCGGAGCACCTGCCACCACAAGCTGGAGGGCCACAGCAGTAACACCAGCTGCGTGTGCTACTCAGCATCCGGCCTGCTGGTGAGCTGGATCACCTGGGGTCTGGGATGGTCCCTTACAGGGTAACATTTTGAGGTCTCCAGAGAAGAGACAGGCACACTGCTGTCTGTCATCCAGGCATCTGGTTCCTGGGACAAGACCATCCGCATCTGGAAGCCCCAGCTGGCCAGTTTGCTTCTCCAGCTCAATGGCCATGTCACCTGGGTGAAGAGCATAGCTTTCTCCCCGGATGAGGCATGGCTGGTCAGCGCTGGCTATTCCCGCATGGTAACACCACCCCTCCTGCCCCAAGTGGCAGGGCACCAAGAACTCAGTGGTGGCAGTAGCTTCCCGGGCTGATCTGGACAGCTCCAAGACCAAACACTGGGCTTAGCCATTAAAATGCATCCAGATGACAAATCCCAGATGGAAGGGTTAGGATGTTGCCTGGGACTCCTGCCTAGAGGATTTCAATACTAGATTGGGTTGGGGAGGCTCCCTTCATCTTCTAGGATTTCTCTTCCCAGGTCCAAGTCTGGGACTGCAAGGCTGGGAAGTGCATGGAGATGCTGCAGGTAAGACTGTGGCAGGCCCCCGGGGAGGGGGGAGCAGGCAGGTCGGGGCTGCCAGGGCCCAGCACTGTGCATTTGGCAGGGGGTCCTGGATGTGGCCCACACCTGTGCCTTCACGCCAGACGGAAAACTCCTCGTGTCTGGAGCTGCTGACTAGCCATGCTGATTCAAGTCACCTCTGTGCCACCACTCCCAGACCAGCACGCTCCCACCCTCAACCCCACCATGAAGCGGTGGGCCTGGCAGAATGAACCAACAGAACAGACAGCTCCATGTCATGGGCCAAAGTGATAGCAGCAGAGCACCCAGCAGACTCCAGAAGGCAGGACCTGAGCAGGGGCCCGCTAAACCCACTGGGCACATGATAACCACAGCCAGGCCCCTTCCCCCCAAACACAAAGCAACCGCTCAGCCGGTTTGTTTTATTGACACACAGGGCTCAGGCCTTGACTGCGTACTTGCGCAGTGGGTACAGCCGCTCCTTCCGCTGCTGCTTCCTGGTCTTCAGGCTCTCCTCGTGCTTGTTGAGGCGACGGCGCATGGCCCGCGTTTTCTTGGGCCGCAGATCCAGGGGCTTGTACTTCTTACCCTGGGATGAGGGGAAGCAGAGTCCGAGGACCAGGGTTTCAGAGCCAGTTGTATTGCGCAAACGAACCCACCAGCTGCTCCACGGGACAAAGAGGCAGTCTGATTCCAGAAAGACCGACAACTTCAGAAGCCCCCAGGAAGCAGTCTAGGCTGTCCTTTAGGATAGCTGTGAGCTGGGATCCAGACAACAGCAGTAGGTTGGCAGCAGCTAAGGAAGCCTCAGGCAGCTTGGAGGGGGGACGACGTGTGCACGCACGCGCCTTGGTTAAGGGAAGTCCTAGTTTTGAGTGCAACTGGAACTCACACCCAAGACAACAGGCTCCTTAGTGGGACCACTTTCCCCAGCTACGGAACCACAGTCCAAGGAAGGGGCACCCGCAGCATTCTGCCATCTGGGGCCTACATGACGGTGTGGACACCAAGCCTGCCCCCAGGGCACCCATATTAACCTCTAGAGGCAGGGCTGGCTCACACACCACTAACTCCCAGGTGAAGGGCTCCAGACCAAGACTATTTTCACAGGTTTTTGTTCAAGCCCCAGCCCACCCCAATTCTTCGGGCTGAGGCCCTCTGCTAGGACTGCAGTCCCTGCCCAAGGAGCCCTCGGCAGACAAAAGACACAGAACTGCAGCAAGCCAGGGGATTCCGAGGCAGGAAAATACGTGTCCACCCGCACAACTCAGTGGCCCCAGCACAAGCGCAGCAGGTAGACCTCACCCACCTCCCCGGCTGTGAGGGGATCTGACCAGGGCACAGGGCACCCACTAGAGGGCCACGAAGGCCTACTCTTACAGGCCACCACTCTGCAAGGCCCCCTCACAGAGCCTACAGGGACCCCCAGGACTATGTGGCTTAGATTGCAGCACACGCCCAAAAAAAGAACCACCACCCTGGCAGTAGCTTTACCCTGTGCCCATGACCCTCTTCCTGGCTGCTGGCCCTCCCCACGACAGGTGTGCTTACAGTTAACATACCCCACTTGGGTCAATTCTTTGAAATAAATCCCATTAACAGCCGGTCTCCTGGTTCTGCTCCAATCCTGATACACTGACTTTAAGGACAAGGACGGAATCTAAGGCTGAGGGACCAGAAGAAACCAAAACAAGTTCACTGCCAACTGTGAGTCGACTTCAACTCACATGACAGAATAGAACTGCCCCCCTTTGGGCTTCCCAGGACGTAAACCTTTGCAGGAGCAGCAAACTTCATCTTTCTCCCTCGGAGCACCTGGTCGGTTCAAACTGCTGAGCTTAGGCTCAGAGCCCAAACTATGACCCAATGTACCACCAGGGCCCAGAGAGCCTGGGTACCTTTCAGAAGCACTCAAGCCCCTCTCACCAGATGACACACTGCTTGTAGATGACTCGAGGCTGCTAAGTACCAAGCATAGATTAAAGCAGTCACTCCTCAACTACCTAAGGCCACTCAGCTGGTGGTGGTGGTGGGGGACACTTGGACTCCCACCACAGAAACAATTCCTTGACAACTGTAGCACTGAAGGAGCGCCACGTGCCCAAGAAAGATGCTAGCAAAAAAGTCTATCAACTCCAACCAGAGGAAGCCTCAGAAAACCAGCTCAGCCCGGGCAAAGGCCAGTTACCCGCCCTCCGGGAGGAGACCCACTCCCACTGCCTGTGGGCACCCCCTCTCCTCTCAGTCTGAAGTTTACCTTGTAGAACTTCCTGAGGTTCTCCTTCTGAGTCTGGTTGATGACGGTGAGAACCCGAGCAATGGATTTGCGGACAACTCGGCTACAAAACAGAGACAGCCAGTGAAGATTAGGAAGGCACATAACACATCCCAAGGCTGTCACCCTGTGGTACAGATTCCCCAGGGGTGCAAGCAGGAAATGAAGGCCAATTAGGTGGCATCCTCAGAAGGGTCTTAAGGAAGAACAGCAAATTGGAGAGGTGCAGACATTGTAAAATCTCTGAAATGAAGGCATCTGCCCTGCCGGCCATGCAGAAGCCCTACCCAGACACCGGAACCAGGTTAGCACCATATAGGCAAGACCCAGGTAGTTTTGGGAATGGGTGGGAGCCATGGACTGGGGGACCACCACAGGCTGGGCGACCACGTGAGCTAAAGAACACTGGCAAGTAGCATTGCTATTAGTTGGGCAATGCGGCCAGTGTCCGGGGTGTCTCCCCAGTAGCTGGTATACAAGGTAAGAGGGATTCAGCATGCAACTGCCTAACAACTCCCCAACTCTTTCAATCCCCCACCCCCAGGGTTTTAAGATGTGCACGTGGGGGGGGGGGTTCTTTAAGGGGAAAGACTGAGAGGTGAGGTAACCTGCCTATTCCTATTAAGATGGGGCAGAACTGGGATTTGTCCCCAAGTCTAGTAAGTGCAAGTCTCGGATTCTATGCCACACAAGTCAAACACTCCAGTACAGCTTCAGTCAGGGCGGCGAGGCCTCTCTCCGGGTGGAAGCATTTACAGCGGATCTGCGACTATGCTCAGTTCTCACGGCGGGACCCCATGCCAATCTGGGTAAGGTATGGCATTTAGGTCTACGGATCCACGGGAAGGGCATTTAAATATCTCCCGAAGCCAACTCCCCAAAGGTACAATCGCCCCACCCCCGCCATTCTAAGAGACTGGGCCGCTTACATTTTGGAGAGTTTGGACGCCGCGCCGCCTGTCACTTTGGCAACGCGCAGCTGCGACAGCTCCACCTTCAGGTCGTCGAGCTGTTTGAGCAGCTCTTCCTTCTTCTTGCCGCGAAGGTCCCGGGCTTTAATCTTGGCCTAGGCGCGAGAAAGGGCCGAAGTCAGACACCACGAGGGGCCATTTCGCCGTCTGCCGTCCGGGCCAGGCTCGGGAGGGCAGCGTTCGCCAGTTCGCGGCCACGAGCGCGCCCGAGCCCGGCGCAAGGGCAAGGCCCCGGCGGAGTCGCCGACGCTCTGGTGGACGCGCCCTCATCTAGGCCGCAGCCTGGAAGACTGGACGAACCGGCTGCAGTGAGCGCGTCTTTCCCGGGCCGGTGGGGCGGGTAAGCCCGGGGAGGCAGTAACAGCGCCAGGCCGTTCCGCGCGGCGCTTCCATTGATCTGACCCACAGAAAGGGTCCTGGGGATCACCCCACGCCCGTCATTCCATTCCCTGACACCCCAGAGCACGAGGATGGCACCCGATGGCATTGCCCTCACCATGGCTGAGCTTTAGAATCCTGCCGCCGCCTGGTCCGAAGCCGAGGGAAAGAGAAAGGGGGCGGGGCTGACCTCTGCAACTACTGCCGGGTGACGGAGGGCTGGACCAATGGCACGGCGGCCAAGGCTCTCTAGCCCCGCCACTCCACCCCACGCTCTGAGAGCCTTGGTACGGCCCACCCAGCCCCGCCCCGTGGAGCCAGAGCCCCGCCCATTGGGGGGGGGCCTCCCTATCTCCGGTGCCCTGGACCCGCAGGGACCCAGAGGATTCTCAAATCCCCTTCCCTGTTAGCAGGTTTGCAGGAGAAGCCATAGCAAGGCACGAATTTGTCTATTTAATAATTCGTTCGTTCATGTATTCGTTTCGTCTGATCCGCTCTTGAGTTAGGCGCCCTGGACTCGGAGGTGGGGATTGGCCGAGACGAGTCACGAAAGGTTTCAAACACGAATGAACTGTCTGGAGGTGGAAGGGGAGTGGTGAAGGCAGACTGCTACAGTGTGATCTCTCTGCGTAAGTGTCGTTCTTGGCAATGCCCCTTTGGCTAGTGAGTCCCACCTAGTGCCAAATTGTTCTGTCAAGAACTAGCTGAGACCCTCGGTAAATCCCTTTGCCTCACTGAGCCTCACCTTAATGTTCTCACGTGTGAAATAGGTACGTGTAAATTTACCTTTATAAAAACCTTTAAAATATGAATTAGGTGAAGGTGTGTGGAGCAGATCATGAATTTTACATGCAACGATTTGTACACATTTTGTTTCAATTCATCCATTGCAATCCCTTCACTGTAGTGTCACTTATCCCACTTCATCCTTGTTTTCTGCTTCCTTTTCTACACTCCTGTACTTTGTTCCAGGGCAAATCCTGCCCTTTTGATCTTAAGTAGTTGCCTGTTCTAATACCTCGGTGAGTTCATATCAGACCTGAGAAGTAGCTAAGGGCGATATAGTCTTGGGGTTCCATCAGTCTCTATCTGACCAGTAAGCCTGGTCTCTTATGATTTTGAGTTTGGTCCCACATTATTCTACCACTATATCCAGGGCCTTCTAATGTGACCTTTGTATAATAACTACTCAAAATATTATCTGTACTAATGCCCTCAGTGGAATGAAGCCTTCAGCTGGGCCCTTAAAGTTGAAGATGAATTCACAAATCAGAGCAGGGGCTCCAGCCTCCTGCCTGGGACCCAGCCAGCAAATGTGAACCAGTGTTCCCCAGCCACACCAGTGCTATTAAGAGATACACACTGCTCTCAGAGGTCTGCTTTCGTCAGGCTGGAAGTTCCCTGGGAACGGAACCATGGCCAGCACCTGATTTGGTCTTTTGAATATCCAGACTCAGCACAAGGACGCTTGCTGGATGAAAGAATGAATCTTGCCTCAGACTGCATGAGGCTGGCTTCCAGGAGCTGGAGAAATGTGGGAAGAGAGGGCAGTGAGCAATCCTGGCTTGACTTACCTAGTCTTAAGTAGAAGTCTAAGGACGCATGGGGACTTCTTATTGTTTCAAAGACTTCTATTGCTATTAGAGCTATTGTGTACATTCTTTCTGAACTTGGAAGTCCTCAGTGACTTCAGGCTTCGCTTATGCTTACATGCCACACCTAATCCATCAGCAAATCTTGCCTACTTTCAAAATATATCTGCTTTTAACCTCATAGGCACCTTCTGGTATGAGCTATTGCTAGTCACCTGGGTTATGGGAGTCACCTCCTAGATCAGCCCTCACTCGATATGATTTAAATAGTTGCTAGAAGGGCCCTTTCTAACTCAAGTCAAAGCATGTCACTACTCTTAGAATTTACAAAACTGTTCCATCTAAGGCCACCATTTCCCTTGCTCACTGCTGTCATCTTTTTTACCTCTTCTGTTCCATTATGGCCTTGTTCCTTCTGGAATACATTAATAAACCTATCCTACCTCTGGGCCTTTGTCTCCCCCTTCCACTATCGCAGGTCACCTCTTCAAGAATGCCTTCTTTCCTTTGATCAACTGAGCACAACGGGTTGTTATTGTGTGGTTCAAACTATGCTCTTGAAGCTCCCATTGGTGACTGGATGGAGCTGTCAAGTCTTGTGGCCCACCAAAACAGTTTTGTTAATGCAAACACTATATAGGACCTTTGTGGGGGTAGGGCCATGCAAATAAGGTGCATGAATCCCTTGGGGGGGGGGGGGATTACTGTAGTCAGTTTTGCCATCCCATTAGGCTTCTAGGCTTATGGGAACCAATCCCAGAAGATATATATGGGGGAAAGCTCACTGCCATCAAAAAGATTCAGGAGTGGGACATGTTCTTTGAGTCTGGGGTCCCTGTGCTGAAAATCTCCTAGAACCTCCTAGAGTTGTAACACCAGAGGTGGTGAGACGTAGTGGCAAGCACAGCACAGCCCAGTGGCAGAGACAGAACCAGGAGATTGGCATGAGATGTCAAAGTGGGCTTGCTGGACCACAAGGCGGTTATAGGGGGTACCAGTCCATAGAGTGAGAAGCTTGCTGGCAGGGTGCAGTGCTCTGGGCACTTAGCAGCTGCACACACACACAAAAAGTTTTGGAATACATACATGCCAAGACTGAGGAATGGTGGGTATCTGAGAAGAAACTGTCCTGATCGAAGAACTGTTATCCTTTCTCTGCTTTTTCCAAGTTGATTCTGATCCAGAATTGTAACCTGTTACTTCCCTACTGAGTTAGTTAATTGTGCCAGCCTGGCCGATAATCACATGTGGTGCTGGTTGAAAGGCAGAGGGATAAATGGGTGGTGAAGCCTCGCCTTTTTAGTTCTCGGGTCTCTTGTTTTGTGATGGTTGTATCGGTGCAGCTGCCTTAGCAGTTCCCTGCTTCAGCTTGCAAGATTGACTTCCTCCAAGACATCCCCAAGGAGAAGCCACATGGATCTATCCCGATGCAGCCCTGGGTGCTGGAGCAGCCATGTGGAGACCCTTGCCAGTGCTGAGATGCTTACACGTTCACGGACTCAGCTTTCCTCCTGCAGTCGGCATCATTGCCTCTGTTTTGTGAGGTGGAGGACTTTGTGGACTGGTGTTGGGTTAATGGGTTAATGTTGGACTTGTGGGCTTGGGCAGCATTGGGTTGGGATGTTTTTGTGATGCACCTTTTCTTTACATAAAACTCTCTCTTATACGTGAGTCGCTGTGGATTTGTTTCTCCAAAGTACCTAGACTAATACACCTACTAAATGATTATAAGTATGGTGTGGGAGTTCTGACTTTGAAATGAGTGCTATCAAACCCAGCAGAGGAATACCGCGGGCGGGATGGTGTCCGGATTGGCTTAACAGTTGGATAGTAGAGGTAAGTCTAGCCTCCACCACACAGGACCTGTGAAGTTAGGGCAATGTCCGACACTTTGCCATTTGGATGCCGTAAGGTAACACTTGTGAATTTTCTTTTTTCAGCTTTTATTCATCCCTGACATAGTATGATTTTATCCCCCCTGGTCTCCTTGAACATGAACAAGAGCATTACTTTGTTTACTAGTGTGTTTTGCTTTCTTCTAAAATTGGCAGGCTGGTGAAAATCCCTTTCCATCAGGATGTTTTGAGTATCTGAATCTCTGCTGTCTTGTGGCCTGCCTAGGTCACCAGAGTTCTTCTCCGATGAAGATCTGAAATGGAAGTGGGCTTTGTTTACTTCCAGGAGCCTCAATACTTTAATTCACCACCTATTTACCTTGTGGGAGTCTGTATCTTTAGTACCCCAAAATAGGGGACATCATATTCTGCCTATCTGTATTTAGAACTGTAGATACAGTTCAATGATTAGCATTCAACACGATAAACAAGAGTCGTATGGATTTCATTAACTATTGGCTTTTATTTTAAAGATACTATTACATGAAAACAAAACCAAATTTATGTATCAACTAGCCTTTTGATTAACAGACCTCTCAAGCACCTCTGAGGGGCCTTTAAAAAGGTTATGGAAAAACGGAATGGACAGGTGACGGAATTTTGTCATAAGTTTGGGAAGTCTCTAAGTTCTTGGTGCCCCTGACTCTCCGCTCCAGCTCTGCTATCAGCACACTCTCCAGCTGGGACCCACTACTCAGCGTGCACCCACCCCTTCCTCAGCTACCACGTGAAGGTAACTACCACATATGCAGAGTCACACCTTCAGTTCCACAGTCTTCAGCGTCTTGTCTCCGTCTTGCAGCCTCAGGGTTAAGTGTGGGAGCATTCAAGGTGTTTTTTTTTTAAACAATCATTTTATTGGGGGCTCTTACAGCTCTTATATAGCAACCCATATATCAATTGTATCAAGCGTATTTGTACATGTTGCCATCACTATTTTAGGAACATTCAGTTTCTATTTAAGCCCTTGTTATCAGCTCCTAAGTCCCCCCTCCCTCCCCCTCATTTGATTTCTTTTTTTTAAATCGTTTTATTAGGGGCTCACACGACTCTTATCACAATCCATACATACATCAATTGTGTAAAGCGCATTTGTACATTCATTGCCCTCGTCATTCTCAAAACATTTGCTCTCCACTTAAGCCCCCGGCATCAGGTCCTCATTTCCCCCTCCCTCGCCGCTCCCCCCTCCCTCAAGAACCCTTGATAATGTATAAATTGTTTATTTTGTCATATCCTGCCCTGTCCGACGTCTCCCTTCACCCACTTTTCTGTTGTCCGTCCCCCAGGGAGGAGGTCACATATAGATCTTTGTAATCGGTTCCCTCTTTCCAACCCACTCTCCCACTACCCTCCCAGTATCGCCACTCACACCACTGGTCCTGAAGAGCATTCAAGGTTCTTAAGAGCAGAGACCTACACTCCGACTCATCACCCAGGGTTTATGGCAAAGGTTTATTTTTCTCCTTACAAGAAGTCGGACTGGCTTAACAGGTAAAGGATCTTTGTCCCCTCAGACTTGGCACTGGCCACCCTGCGCTAGCAGCTGTATGCACACACTGCTCCTTCTTTGGGCCCGGGACTTCTCGGGGAGAAGAGAGAAAGCGGAGAGCGGGCGCACGTGGGGCGTGGGAGAACGGGGCTCGGACTGCCCCACACGGAAGCCGCGCTCACGTGCCTTTTCGGGTGGGTGGGCGCCAAGGGAAACCGCACTTGACTTACCTAGCGTTTCCAAGCCTCCCACGTCGCGAATCCTCCAGACTCCGTTGCTTCCGGTTCCGGCGTTTCCCGGAAGTGGGCGGGCTGCCGGCTTGTGCGCGCGGAGGAGGAGGAGGTATCGGGCGGCCGCTTCCCGCCCCCGAGCCGGAGCCCGAGCCGGAGCCGGAGCCGGAGCCGGAGCCGAGGGGAGCCGTGGTTTGAATCCCAGCGGAGCCGGGGAGCGGGCGGCGAGCCCCGCCATGGCCCGGAACACGCTGTCCTCACGCTTTCGCCGGGTGGACATTGACGAGTTTGACGAGAACAAATTCGTGGACGAACAGGAGGAGGCGGCAGCGGCGGCAGCCGAGCCAGGCCCGGATCCGAGCGAGGTGGACGGGCTCCTACGGCAATATCCTTCCCCGGCGCGGCGGCTCAGGGGCCCTGGAGCCCGGGTCTGGTCTCCCCACCTCCCCAGTCCCCAGATCCCTGCCTCCTCTGGTCACTCCCCTGAAACCCGGTGCCCTCCCGCACGGGTCACCCCATTGATCCCAGCCCCAGCGCCTCTGATTCCTGGCCCTGGTGCCTCCTCTCGGCTCCCGACGCCCTCTGCCCCTCTGGAAGTTCCTTCCGTGGGCGCCCCATTCCTCCATCCCCTCCCTGGCCGGAAATGGGGCTGGGTGGCGGGAGGGGCAGGTGAGCCGCCGCTGAGTAATGGAGCAGCCGAGCGGCTCGGGGACCTGCCCGGTGGCCTTCGTGGGCCGGAATGCAGCACGGCCTGAAAATAAGTGGGTGAACGGCTGCGGGGAGAAAGGCCGCAGGATGGAGTGAGATGAAGCGCCCCTCACCCCAGGACCCCCGAGTCACTGCCCCTCAGCTAAAGGCTTATGGGCACCTTCAGCACACCTTGGCCTTGACCTCGGTCACACTCAACAAGTGCGCCCTGGCTTCCGATGCTGTTCGCAGTAAGCAGAGGCAGAAAGGAGTGGTCCAGAGCTAAGAGAAACCAGACAGCGCCGAGGGAAATGCCCAAGGAAAGCTGTTCTTGTGGCCACAGAAAACAGGCATTTAGAAAGCAAGATGAAAAATAGAGGTGGATGTCACCACCTGCTTGGGCAGGTTAGCACAGGAAACACTGATTCTCCCGGAGAGAATCTGAGCTTTATTCAAACGGTGTTACAGGAAGTCGCCTCCCGCCCGGAACTGGTCAGGGCCGAGCTGGAGGCTCAGGGCAGCTATAAATCAGCTTCTTCATGTTTGCTCGGTGGACTCAACCTGGGAAGTTGGCCTTCACCCACTGTTTTCAGGACGAGCTTTTGGAACGAAACCCCTCAGACTTGGTCTGCTGGAAAAAGAAGGGATTTAAACTTGTATTTCCTGCCCTACAAGGATCACCGTGCATACTCCTCTGGTGAAATGGGGTCGTGGGAAGGAATCCCAGGAGAGAAGGCTGGTTTTGTCACCTGGTGCAGGGCTCCAGAGTCAGGCCTTTCATATCGCAGATGGGGCAGATCAAGGCCCCCACAGGTGTCGCCTGGTTTATTCTCTTGGTCCTTGCTGCTTGGGGAATAGGTTCCTTAGGACAGCCTGGAGCCTGCGGCTGAGCACATCGGGGTGGCGGCGGCAGTTTTTCCACTAATGGGAGTGGCAGAAACCTTGTCGTCATGGAGAGTGTACCTTTTGGGGTCAAGGAAGAGAAGAACTGAAACCCTGTTAAGTTGGGGAGGGAGGAGGATGGAACTTGTATTTCTTGAATCCCTCTCCTGTGCTAGCTCCTGGACGTCACATGCGCTCACTGACTAACCTGCAGCAGTTCTTCCGAAGAGGGCGAGGAGGGGCCTTGGGCTAGAGCTGTATCAGACAGCGGCTCATGGGGGTAGATTACAGGGCAGAAATGGAAAGAATGGGAGTGCCTCCACACAGACCCAGGCCTGAGAGCACTTGCTGTGTGACCTTGAGCAGGGCCATACACTCGTTTTTCTGGTAAAGGGAGGGGAACCATGCCGGCCTCATAGGCTCCTTGGGAGGATCATCATAGGATGCCACCCTAAAAGGGTCTGGCATAGGGTTGGGCACCCAGTGAGTGTCCCAGACCCCCTCCCCACCCCCCCCAGCTTGGGTCTACAGGGGATGATAACACTTGGGTTTGGAAGCAGGCAACTTGGGAGTGAAGTCCAGCTGGATAATTTTGTTTTTCCACCTTGGACCGGTCATTTCCCTTCCTTTGGATCTTAGTTTCATTGTATTTAAAATGGGAATAGTGATCCCCTGGCAAAGGGTTGTTCACAGTGAGATGACAGCATCTGTCACGGGATTGGAGGCCTTGTAGATATGTCAACAGAGCCTAGCTCCCTCACTGAAGCAGCATTTAGAGTGGTGGTTCTGCCTGTGAACTCCCCCCACTTTGATGGTTACAACCTGGTGGTTTGGCTACTGGAACATCTAGCCGGGGCCAGGATGTCACTAAACATCTACAACACACAGGACAGCCCCCGTGGTAATGAGCCAGCTGGGCTAATGTCCCCGTGCTGTTATAGCTGAAAGACCCTGGTCTAAAGGAGTCTGGGGACTGGGCAGGGTTCCCACAGCCTTCACTGCCCGTACTCTGAAAGAGCCCAGTGTTCAGAGACCAGTTTAGGCACTGCTGTGACAGCAGGGATGCCCTCTCTGCTTCCTCCACCTGCCTAGCTGCTGAAGGCCCCCTGCCTGTCCAAGCCCTCTGAATGCTTAGCAGATGGGCCAAGAGAGTACTGCTAAAGCTGGGACTCTTCTGCCCCGTGACAGCTTTGCCAATCAGGCTAGGTTCTAGTGAAGAGCCTGCAGCATGATGAGTGCCCCCTGAGGGGGGTGGGTTCCTGCTTATTGTTTTAGACCAGAGGTTAGCTAGTCATCTTGAACTCAGGGCAACCCCATGGGTGTCCCAAGTAGCATTGCTCTGTATGGTTTTCTGGGCTATAATCTTTATGGAAGCAGAATGCCAGGCCTTCCTTCCATGGAGCTAGTGGGTGGGTTTGAGTGATCAGGCTTTAGGCTCACGGCTCACAGCTCACAAACTGCTCACCCAGGCTCCTTTGTATCCCCAAACCCAAACTCACTGCCACCGGGCCACATCTGATTCATAGCGACCCTGTAGGACAGAGTAGAACTAGAATCGGTCTTGTAGGTTTCTGAGACTCTGGCTTTCTATGGGGGTAGAAAGCCTCATCTTCTGAGGAACAGCTGGTGGATTCAAACTGCTGATCTTGTGGTTAGCAGCCCAACACTTAACCTATTACACCACCAGGGTTCTTTTAATTGCTTTAGAGACCAGATGAAAGGGTTAGGAGGGAGAGGATTTCAGTGAGTGATATCATACTGCCTGGAGAAGAGGAATTCCACAGCTGAGAGAAAGGTGGATGGACTGCCTCTCATCTGGAAGGGGAGCCTCCCCTCCCCTCCCTGGGGCCGGGAGACCTGGGGCTCCAGGTCTGGTGGCAGTCAGGGTGGGGCCACACTGGGGAAGAGGAGTGATTCGCCTTTTTCTGCTCACACGTGGGTATCACTGCGTGAACAGGAGTGGAGACCTGATTGGGCAGAAGCCATTCCTTGTTCTATTTTTGAAGCTTTTTGGCTGAAGCCAGTGTTTCAGATGAGGAAATGAAAGTTGGCTGATGTAATTCAGTTTAAAATAGGTGTCACCTTTGGGGACCTAACCCAGATTGCAATTTTCTCTTGCTGGGAGATTCAGAACTCGGCAAAGAATGGTGACAAGACTGCAACTGAAGTTTGCAGGGGAGCCTTGGCTTATCTCTATTGGAAAGGGTTCTTTGAGGTACTGAGTTCTCCTCTGGTGGCAGTTGGGCCTTCACTGGCCAGGAAAGGTCTTGCAGAGCCACTTGCGTCCTGGCTTGTGTCAGTCGAGTGTGCCCCCTAGGGTTTCTCAGTGATGAGTTTTTCAGGAGACCACCAGGTGCTGTTTCTGAGGCCCCGCTAGGTGGACTTACCCGTCCAACCTTTCCATTGACAGCCGAATATAGGAACTCTGTGCGCCATCCAGTGACTCCTAGATCTTGCAAGTGCCAGCCTTTCATTTCCTGAGCATTAGGGACAGGATGGGCTTGAAGAGCTGGCAGACATCTGTGGCTTTGTTGTCATCTAATGAGAGCCATCACCCCCAGTGACTGTTGGGTCCATGTGTAGGTCAGATTTGGCTGCCATTCACACACCTAGGTCAGTTGCTTTGCTGATAACTTCCCATGTATGTGCTAAAAAGCGGCTTTGAGCAAGAAGTGTAAGGAGACAGAAAGGGCAATATGCAGGGCTGGCAGGGTGCCCACCACCCAGAAGCCAAGAAGTGTAGCAAGGCAAGGGATCGTTGGGAGATCCCAATTGATTGCTCTCTTGCACTGCTTTGGAAATGAGTTCACTAATGACAGCATGAACACGGCTTGTGCCTAACCATCCTTAACATGTGGCGCTGCACAGGGGACATGCTTCGGGCCTTCCACGCCGCCTTGCGGAACTCTCCTGTCAACACCAAGAACCAAGCTGTGAAGGTAACAGGGTCGGGCATCAGGCTCAGCTCTGCTGGGCCTGGGGACTGTGGGCTTGGCAGCCCCTCAGCTGGAGCGTGAGTTCCCTGGGGCTCTGGGCAGTGCCTAGTTCTCTGCATCAAGGAGTAGCTGCCAAAAGAGTGACTTGGCAGTAGACAGCACTGCCACAGAAGCCTCCTGGTGTCCACAGACATGGAGGCTCCTCCGCCTTCAAAGCTGTCAGTGTTCACAGTAAATGCTCCCCAAAGAGCCTTCTCTCCTTCCCCCAGGGCCTCCTGGGGTAAGAAGTTAGCCCAGCCCTTTGCAGATTAGCAAAACAGATAAAAATTAGCTTGCTGGGTGAGACTTCGCTGGGGCTGTGCCTCATAGGCTAGTAAATAAACTTAAGCTGCATAAGGACTTTTTAGAAAACGTGTTTATTGTGCATTAGGTGAAAGTGGACATCCTAAGTTTGCTTTTCCAATCAATAGTTCATAGACAAATGGGTTCTGACTTACATAAGGAGTTAAGTGCTTTTAAAAAGTCTCCCACCTGCGTACAATAGAGTGAGAGCATAAAGCTGCGCTCCCGCCCGCTCGCTGCACCACCACTAAGGTTGCCCAGCATTTGGTCTGGCCACAGGCTGTCCAGCTACCTGAAGCTTGACTTTGGCTTCGTGACAGAAGTGTCACATCGCGATGTAGCCAATGGCTGCACCTGCTCAGGTGGAGGGAAAGGTTGACCGGTGGAAGCTGCAGACAACTCAAACTAAGCGAAGGTCTTCTGACAAAGAGCCTGCAAAGTCTAAGGCTATTGCCCTCGGGAGCTGCGTTGCTTCTCCCCTGTAAGCCATGCCCCTGCCTCTCCAAAAGAAGTGGACCAATTTACGGGATCGTTTGAAATGTAAATAAAATTTTCATTCCCCGCCCCCACCCCCCCTTTTTTTAAAGTAATGGATGTAAATTAGAAATGAGATCAGGTTTCTGGCAGGTTCTGACCACTTGGCCGGTGGTCCTGTGCCTGCAATGGGAGATAGCTGGGCCTGGGCTGTGGCTCTGGGCCTCATTCCTTCTCTCTTGCCACCCTAGGAGCGAGCCCAGGGTGTGGTGCTGAAAGTGCTTACCAATTTTAAGAGCAGTGAAATCGAGCAGGCTGTGCAGTCCCTGGACAGAAATGGCATTGACTTGTTAATGAAGTACATTTATAAAGGGTTTGAGAAGCCCACAGAAAACAGCAGCGCAATGTTACTCCAGTGGCATGAAAAGGTACGTGAGCACATTGCCCCCCTACGCACCCTCCCCCACCCCCAACACATCCCAGGGTTCAAGCCCACGGGCCGGGTGTTTCAAAACAGGGCAATCCAATAGTCGTGTGAGGATGAGGGGCCATCCTGGGACAGCTAAGCACTTAGCTCCAACATCAGCCACTGCGTTCTTTGTAGTGGTTGATGCAGGGCAGGACAGGGTGCCTCAGCCAGGCGACTTTGCATGTTAGGAACAATGGGTGAGGCACAGGCTAGGAGTGCTGGTTGGCTGGGGCTTGGCCCTGACGGAAATCACTGCTGAGTGGTCCCAGGGACACAGACTTATCCTTCCAGCCGGAGACAGCAGTGGGTAAAGATGTCACAGGTACTTCATTCACCTGAAGCAGAAAACACTAGGTCGGTCTTCCCTTTGCGTGGGTCATGAAGAGGAGCAGGGCCCTTTGCCGAGCCCATCTCCTCCTTTGGGCCACTGTGCTCTGCCCACCCTCTGCTCATGCTACTCTGAGCTGTTGTCAGCTTGCGCCGCCATTTGAGCAGGCAAGCAGGACATGAACACAAAGTCTTTCTAAAGGGTGCAGGCCTGCCTACTTACAGCAGGGCCAGTGGCATTGGCATTGGGCTGTGATTGTGGCCTTTGGGGTCTGCTCAGCTTCCCATCTGGAGAAGCCCCTGGGCTTAGCAGGCGGTGGCTGTGGTGCTCAGGGGAGCTTAGCAGGTGTAGAGGCTCTAAGCCTCTATCTTCCTTTAAGGTGTCTTGGTGCCCAGACCTGTCTGGTATGCCTATCGAGAGCACCAGAAGGCAGCTTTCAGATAGGTGAGTGTGCATTGAGGAAGTGGGTAGGTAAGCACTGGCCTGTTGATTCCAAGGTCATCAGTCCAAACCCACCAGCCAGTCCAGGGGAGAAAGATGAAGCTGCCTATTCCCGTCAATACGCGCAGTCTCTGAAACCCTACAGAGCTTTCTACTCTGTTCTACTGGGTGGGAATTGGCTTGGGGTCAGTGTGCATGTACATGCTTGGGCTCTGCCTGCAGGCTGGCATGCTGTATTTCTTCAGAGGGCAGACCTGCAGGGCTCTGCCATGGGGGTTGCTCCCAGGACCCAAGCGACCAAACTGGCTCCACCACTAGGAACTCTCAGGGCCCTTTGGTCCCAGGAGCAAGCTGCCGCCTGACTGTCCTCACAGGAATCCCTTTTCTTTTCTGAGGGTCTGCGCTGGCACCCATGCAGGGAGTACATGGCCCCATCTCCCTGGACCCCTTCCTTGTGGCCAGGGCTCCGTGATGACACGTTTCCTTTTCCCCACAGGCATTAGCAGTAGGAGGACTGGGCTCCATTATAAGAGTTCTTACAGCAAGAAAGACTGTTTAAAACCAAGACTCGTGTCACCTGGAGAAGACCTTTGGACGCACAGGCTGGTGAAGAAGGGCTTGACCACGGACCGTCTTCTGAGGAACTCCAAGTGAGCTATTCAGGACCCGTGTCTGCTGGGATGGATTTTTTTTTTCAAGGTGGAGGGAGAAATTGTCCTACTGTTGGGTGAACCCTTTGCAGGATCTGATAGTCTTTGTCTACGAGTAACGCGGAAGGGACGTTTTCTGCCTGTACCAGAGTGGTAGCCAGCCATGTCAGGTGTGCTTGGGGAAACGGGGGCCATCCCAGGGTTGTGATAAAGGGAGCACGTGTTTCTGTGACGTGAGAAAGCCCGAGGGTCTGTACAGTCCTCCCGCCCTCCCCAGAAAGCAGCCTCTCTCGGGCTCATTGTAAAGTGCCTGCTGCATCAATAAAGCTCTTGGCTTATTAGTATCCACATCGCAGTGTGTTTTGTGTATGTTATGAATGCTCACGAGCGGTGGGCAGGAGAGGCCAATGGTCCTGGGGCCCCACAGGTGTCCGGGGTTAGACCTGCTGGGCAGCTCTGTGGAGCAAACATGGAAATCAGTGGGACCAGGCGGTGGGCTGTGGGGCTGCTGGCTGCCAGAGAGGGGTTTTGTGGAATCACTGTTTCTTACTCCTCTGATTCGTATTGTAATTTTGGAAGTCATTGAATAAAGTGCCAGATGTTTAAGAATTGATCCCCGTTTGTGTGACTGCATTTGGGAGCCCTTCCAGGTGGGCCTCAGGTTCATCTGGTCACAGGCCTGATGCCACTGTGCTGCAGAATGCCCTTGTCTTCACTACAATGACACCGTCTCTTTAAAAAACAAGCCAGAAATAGGTCGAAATCACAGTGCATGTGAGAAAGCATCCTTGGGCCCTGTAACTCTGACCAGGACAGCAAGTCCAAACTGCCGCGGGCACTCTGTTCTTCATCTGTATTCATGAAGTTCCTCTCGTTCACGAGGCCCTGGGAGCCAGGTGGATGAGGAAGGGACTCTCTGGTTCCCCCTCACCCCTACAGCTTCTCTGAAGGATTGACACCAGTTTTGGGAAGCAGGGCTGGCCTTCATTCAATTAACATGTATTGGTTTCCCACGCCTAATCCTGGGAGGTTTTTACCCGAGAAACATTCTCTAGCCCTTGAAGTTGGCCTTGAGTACAAGACACAATGTACTAAATTCAACCAGTTTAACAATATTGGCCCGCCAGACTATACCAAATCAAACACTCTTGTTGCATCTGGATTGCAAAGCTTTAATCAAAAAGTGTATTGCACCACAAATGAATTTTCTACAGTAGTTTTAGATAATACAACCCCCTAATTTACAGTATTGAGAGATCTAGAGCCAATGCTCATATAAAGGGCTATATATAGTGTATCACAGCAAGTTTTATATAGTAAAAGTGCATCAAATTACTTAGAATATTTATTCCACTTTCCCTCTTAGAGCTGAAGAAAATTCACCATGCAGGAGAAAAGCCAAATCAGTGAGCATCCCTAGGCAGCACAGACTTGGCAACAGGCACGGGTACACCTAATGGGGGGTGGAGAAGGGGGCAGCAGCTCCAGCGAGGGCCGGAGGAGCCTGCGAGAGTCCGAGCTGGCTTCCAGAGGAGTGTCGGAGCTGTTGGTGGCCAGCCTTGACCTATCAATACTTCTTGGGGATCAGCTCTCTCAAGACAGATGAAAAGATGGAAATCTTTTTAAAAAAGCAACAGCTTGTCAAAATTGCAAAACAGAAAGGATTCTTCTTTCATGTGCTCACCGGGTGAGTAGAAAACAGCATTCATTCTAAACAAGGGCCAGCAACTGCAAAGACGAGGCACCGCGGAGGTAGCAGCTAGAGTATGGTTGGTTTGGATGGCTGAGCCTTTGCTGGGACTGAAGAGATGCCCAGGGTCATGGAAACTTAGTTTAACTGTAAATCTTTTTCTATGCATCAAAAGAAATAACCCTGAAGAACTAAGCATAATTCGGAAACAACTCTCATTGTCAGGATTGAATAACTGATAGTAAATACAGGAGCTTCAGTTATTCCGTTTTTAATTCAACCCGTGAAAAGTATCAGACTAAAAATCAACAAATGGTTTGTCTTTAGCTTCCGTATGGTGGCATATCCAGGACAAGCAGGGTCTCTCTCTGGGAACAGCACACACACCTTTTCTAGCCGTCACTAGCAGTGCCATCTCAGCAAGCGGCTGGGGACCGCACTGAAGGGGGCTGCTGGACTCGGCATGGCTGCCTAGGGGACAGTAGGGAGAGCGAGGGTGGCTCCACGGACAAGCCCACTACTTCCAGTGTTTGGTTGTGGCTGGGGGAGGGCCAGCAGTGGCGTCTTTTGAATATGCCGAACTGTCTTTTAGCAGTAGAAAAAATGTGCTTAGCATTTGCTCAGTGTTTGTACCACACAGAATTAGGAGCAAAGCAAACAAAATACCACCACTTCTTCAGAGAGAAGCGGATGCCACAGAAAGCTAGTGATGCTACTCAGGGACAGGAATCCTAATTGTAGAAATCATGTCCTCTGGATGCTCGGATCTCCCTTTAAGAACGCCCGTTACATAGATTTTATAATACAGACATGTTCACAACAGTGAAGAACTTCAGCTATAAAAAATAGTTTAAAATGGTTTACCAGCAACCTATCCAAGACGGTACATTCATTAAAAAGGCAATTGAGTGTATTTGGTACTACCCTTACGATCTCTCGATTGCGAGCTTGCAGGTGCCAGAGGAAAGCTACAAGTTCATTATTCTGTGCTAGCCCCAGGTGCTGTCCAGCCACATACCTCTCAAGTTCTAGGTGGTTTCAGAAACAAGGTGGAGCAGTGTTTGCTGGAGAGGAATGGGGAAGATGCCTCTTCTCATTCATTTGAACCCACACGTTACCAGGGAAGAGGGCTTAAAGCACACCCCCCTGGGGAGTTGGAGGTGTGCAGCAGAAGCAGGTGGGTTTGGCCTGCCAGGCGCCACTCCCAGGAGCTGCCTCTTCCTTCAGCAACATCACATCAGGGTGCACTGGCTGACGGAGGCTGACAATTTGAGCTTTAGTGCAGATGGGTGCCGAGCTGGGATAGTGGCAGCACTGTGGCAATCTGGGTAGTGCTGGCGCCCTCTGATTTGGGGACCAGGAGGACAGCTCCTGCTCCCTCCTGAGGTTCATGTCAGTTTGCAGGGAAGTGGGCCTTATGTCTTGTAAACAATGTGTAGGTGCTTGTACAAAATACTGCAGATACGGTGATTAAAACCCACCCGACTGCTCTGTCAGCGTTCTTTTTCAAGAGACTGTGTCAAGCTGTGGAGCTTCATCTTTGGCAGGCGCCCTCTAGGACCATGGTATCCGAGGGTTGGAGATAGATGGCCGGATGCTGCCCTTGGGAGCTGGTTTGGATCCAAACCATGACATCTGTATTTGAAACAGCAAAGGGTCCTGAGCTGAGCATACATGGAAACAGCCACCCCTCCCCTCCTTGCCCCCACCTGCCATCCTCACTGCATCCTGACTGACCAGAAGCAGGGGGAAGAGGATAGTGTCTGTCTTGACAAAAACTTGCCAACACAAGCTGGAATTGTAGGTCATTTTCCCTTATTAACTATTTTTAATTACGTTGGTTTACACTTCTACTTTTAAAATATTTTCCCCTTTAAAAACATTGTTGTGTGTTGAGCAAGATTTGGGCCATCAACGCAAAGGGCTCTACCTGGGCCAGTGCTCAGCGATGGCCTCACTGACCATGGGCTGGGGCTGTTGGGTACGGCAGCCGGAGGCGGCCGCGGCAGACCCAAGGCCTACCTTATACTCCAGGGTTTCCTTCAGCATGTTCTCTTCCTCTGGCGAGAAGTTGAGCAACACCGACACGGCTTTTATAAGATGAAAGGCCTGAAATAAAGCAAGTTGTGCCGCCACGGGGTGGGGAGGAAGGCAAGGCTTGGGGGCTTTGGTTTTGCTCCTAGGGTGTGCAGTCCTGGTTAGCAGGGACTGGATGGGGTGAAGTCGACCACTGTGAGATGCTCTCTCCCCTCCCTCCTCACTGGGGACTTGGCTCTCTGCTTTCCGCTCTTCAGCGGGGTGCAGGAAAGCTGGGAGAATCAGGTCCCTAGACGCTGGCCTCGGCAGCCAGGTTGGAAGATGCATCTCTGCCAACAGCCCATTTCCCACGCTGGCCCCTCACTGCCCGCCGCAAAGTCAGCAGCTGAAGAACTGACTACATGTGCACATGGTGGTCCAATGGGGTGTGGGTGAGAAAAGAAGGGCGCGGCCTCGGTGGGACAGTACGCAGGGCAGGGCCTGGGCAGAGACTCAACACCCCAAATCAATGGACTTGAAAGCCCTTTACCTCGGATTCTCGGCAGGACATGAATTTCAGAACAACATGTTTCAGGTACTCAAAGTTGATTTCTCGAGCGTCAGTCAGGTCGGCAGTACTGGTGACAGACGGAGCCAGGCTTGCCATCTCGGGCCCAGGCTTCTCTCGGACCTCAAAAAGTTCATTATCGGGCCTGATTTTCTGAAAAATAAGATGGAAAGATGCTACACTGGCTAGGCATAACCATCATGCCATGGGTGGTTTACCTGGCTGGTCCACCTGCTGTTCCCATGCCACAATAGACACATCATAGGGCAAAAAGGGTCCCACTTGGGAAGGAAGCACCTACAGGTGGGTTGCTGGCTGGGAGGAGACAGCAAGGTCCCCTGCCATTTCCTCTACCCATGCTAAGGACACATCTCGCCAGGGCAGGGCACTGCTCAGCCAGGAAAAAGCCTGCTGATCATGCTGGGTAAGGGCAGCCACTATGGGACTGTACAATGCACAGAGCCACCCAAGAGGTAGGGACCATCCATTTTCCGACAACACAAGCACATGCCCAATATCATACACCATCATCTGAATTCCCAGGGACCCTTGCATTCACCTTGGGGGAAGGGCACTCTCAGGCAGGGAGGGACTCTAGGAGGGCCAGAGCACCCCAGGCCCTGGGCAGCAGAAGGGGCTGGGCAGCCGGGCCACTTCTGCGCAGGGACTCACCAGTTCCTTCTGCAGAGTCTTCTTGAGTTCCAGCATCCTCTGCTGCATCTGCTTTATGATCTGAGATGAACCCCACCAAAAGCTATTTTTTAGTGCACATTTCAGGAAGACACCCCCCCCCACCCCACCGCCTTTTGTTAGTAGTCTACCCTTGCCCTCCTGAGTCGGTGGGCAGCTTTCCTACCCAGGTTCCTGCACCTGCACGCTGTTTTCCTCATGTGATCCTGTGTTTTGCACGTCTAGTCTCTAGGCCCCACAAAGCCATGTAGGTTGTGAGAAACCCTTCCATGTAATCTATGAACGTCCCAGGGCTGCTCACCTTGGGCTCTCTCATCTGGACTGTGTCTAGACCCTGCCACCATGAACAGTCCAGCTGTAAGCACCCCGGTACCATACGCTCTCTCCTTCAGAATGATAACTGTGCTATGATCCTAAAGCAGACACTTCAGGTCAAAACATACGGTTCTCATCATCACCACTGTGTCTGGCATACCACGATCTACCCTGAGGGGTCGGTAACACCAGTGAGGTCCCCATGCCCTCGACAGACTCATCAACCAATTGCGATCACGAGGACGGCATGTGTCCAAGGGCAAAGTCCTTGGAGGGCCGTGGAGGCGGACGCTGGAAGGCAGGGCAGGCGTGGTGTTGAGGGGAGGGGTTGCAATGATAAGTGGAAACAAAATGTGCACGGAGTGTTGACTCTCACCTAATTTACAAGACAAAGTTTTAAAAAATGGATTTGCTGATGTCTGTGGGTTGTCAAAGAAAGGGTTGTGGCTGATGTTGGGTTTTGCAATTTCCTGAGATGGGAAAGAGTAGCGGGAGGAGAGCAGCACGGTGAGTGATGTTTCACTCACTTTGCATGTTTCACATCTGAGATGCCTGTAGACCTGTGGGGGTGGAGCATGCAGACCCAAGGCTCTAGCCTTCCTGGGAGTGGAGACAGGTATGTGGGAGGCAGCAGTGGGCGAGGTTCTGGGTAAGATCACCAAGGGAGTGCATGGGCCCAATTCGGGACTACAGAGGGCTGGGCCGGAGGGAAGGAGCTGAACCATGACCAGAGATGGAGAAGGAGCAGGGAAGAAGAGAACACAGAAGATGATGATCCTGTCTACCAACTGCCGCTGACTGGTCAAATTTGGAGGAAAAAATAAAATGTATTTTTGCATTTAGCAGTGCGGGCATCCCTGATGAGCTTGGCAGGTTTGTTTTCTGTGCAGCAGTAGGGGAAAAAGCCTGGTGGACTAGATTAAACAGAGAATAAGTTGCTGGGGAGGCGAGCTGAGAGACAGCAGTAGTGAGAGAGAGAGAGACTGAGGCTGAGGGCCTCTGTATGGTGACTTACACTACAGCACACTCCTAAATGAATGAATGACCCAGGAGAGAGAGAAAAAGGAAGAGGGAGGCCAGGGAGAGAGCAGGAGCAGCAGGGGATGAGGCAGCAGTAGAGGTTGTGCAGTGAGTTTGCCCCAGAACCAGGAAGGCAAGCAAGGGCTCCCGGTCCATGGGTGCTGGGTAGGTGAACTATAATGCAAAGAGACTGGTGGAAGAGGGAGAGGCTGGAAAACAGTACAATCGCCAAGGAAAGCAGCCTGGCACTTCCTCAACTAACTGGGACTAGAAATCCTGGATGACCTGCCATCCCACTACCACTACTCGGCGGCAAGTGCCTGAGAGAAACACGCACAGGACCACAAGCAGGTTCGTGTGCACCCATGCCCACTGCAGCACTCCTCACAGTAGCAGGGAGACAGACCCTAAATGCCTATTGGTGGGAGAATTGACCAAGACACACACACACACACACACACACACACACACACACACACACACACACACGATGGAATACTACGAATCACTGAAGAATACTGACAAATCTGTAAAACACCTCATGACAACAGAACAGCAAGAGGAGCAGAGCAACGAAGTCCTGGGGGAAAACCAAAAATAGAATTTGGGACCAGGGCGTGCCACCCCATCAGACTCAACCAGAAAACACTCCTAAAGGTCAACAAACAGACCTTGAACTATTTACAAGCTTTTATTTTTTTGGTCATTGGTTTTTGTTGTTGTTTTGTTGCTTTATTTTGCTCTGTCTTGTTTTTTTGTGCATATTATTATCTCTGCAGGTCTATCTAGATAAGATAGGCAGGATAAACAACTGGAGGAGAAAACAACAGGACCTACAGACGGTTCTGTGGAGACATGGGAAGGGGGAGGTGGGGGGAAAGGAAGTGGTGTTAACAAACCCAGGGACAAGGGAATAACAAGTGATCCAAAATCGGTGGTGAGGACGGTGTGGGAGGCCTGGTAGGGATTGATCAAGGGTAATGTAACCGAGAGGAATTACTGAAACCCAAATGAAGGCTGAGCATGAAAGTGGGACAAGAGGAATGTCAAAGGAAATAGATGAAAGAACTAGGAGGCAAAGGGCATTTGTAGAGGTCTAAGTACAGGTATGTACATATGTAAATATATTTATATATGATGATGGGGAAATAGATCTATGTGCATATGTTTATAGGTTTAGTATTAAGGTAGCAGATGGACCTTAGGCCTCCCTCGATGCAAGAGCACTTTGTTCTATTAAACTGGCATTACATGATGCACACCTTCCCAACACGATCACTGAAATCAAAGTGGGTAGAGAAATGAATGTACAAATGCGCTTTACACAATTGATGTGTGTATGGATTGGGATAAGAGTTGTACGAGCCCCTAATAAAATAATAAAATGATTAAAAAAAGAGTTGTACGAGCCCCTAATAAACTGATTTTTAAAAATGGAAAAAAAAATGTTTTGAAAATGATGATGACAACAAATGTACAAATTGTACACAATGTATGTATGTATGTATGTATTGTGATAAGAGCTATATGAGCCACCAATAAAATGATTTTTTTAGAAAAAGGAAAAAAAAAAAAAAGAAAACAAAGTGGGTACATAAGCAAATGTGGTGAAAAAGCTGATGCCCAGCTATCAAAAGATATAGTATCTGGGGTTTTAAAGGCTTGAAGATAAACAAGTGGTCATCAAGCTGAGAAGCAACAAAGCTCACATAGAAGAAGCACACCACCCTGTGTGATCACGAGGTGTCAATGGGATCAGGTATCAGGCATCAAAGAACAAAACATTTTATCATTGTGAATGAGGGGGAGTACGGAGTGGGGACCCAAAGCCCATCTGTAGGCAACTGGACATCTCCTTACAGAAGGGTCACGGGGAGGAGACGAGCCAGTCACAGTGCAGTGTAGCAACGATGAAACATACAACTTTCCTCTAGTTCTTAAATGCTTCCTCCACCCCGCCCCCCCATCGCCCCCACTATCATATTCTCAATTCTGCCTTACAAATCTGGCTAGACCACAGTATGTACACTGGTACAGATAGGAAGTGGAAACACAGGGGATCCAGGACAGATGATCCCTTTGGGACCAGTGGTGAGAGAGGCGATACCGGGAGGGTGGGGTGAAAAGGGGTAGCTGATTACAAGGATCTACATATAACCTCCTCCCTGGGGGACAGACAACAGAAAAGTGAGTGAAGGGAGACGTAGACAGTGTAAGATATGACAAAATACCAATTTATAACTTATCAAGGCTTCATGAGGGAGGGAGTAGCGGGGAGGGAGGGAGAAAAATGAGGAGCTGATGCCAGGGGCTTAGGTGGAGAGCAAATGTTATGAGAATGATGAAGGCAATGAATGTACAAATGTGCTTTACACAATTAATGTACATATGGATTGTGATAAGAGTTGTATGAGTCCCTAATAAAATGATTTTTTTTTAAAAAGGGAGGGAGGGGGGAAGAGAGCAAGTCATTGGGAGGATGAATTAAATTGCTGAATGCAAACATGATGATCTGATCTGTAAACCTCACCTCATTCACAAGAAAAATTCAAGAAAAACACGAGGGGGAAGAGGGGCAATTGGAGAGGAGGAGGGAAGAGAAAGCAGAAGTGCAGCTGGGATGGGGGAGTGGTGTGTCATGCCTGTCTGACTCCACAGCCACAGGGGTAGAGCAAAGATAGCAGGGCTGAGTCTGGGTTTCACCAGCACTTGCCCCGGAGCAATGTTGGAGAGGCCGAGCTCTGAAGATGTGGAGAGGCAGTGGCCATGACAATGGCCTGTGGAACCCACTGGTGTCAGGAGGGGAGCAAAAGGGCCAGGTCTGAGAAGATAGAGGAGGAACTACTGGCTGGTCATGGCGCACAGCTTACTTTACATTCAAAAGCCGTGAACTGAGGGCCAGTGTTCAGAGATGCCGCTGCAGTGGGAAAGCTGGGACAGGCCAGGCAGTTCCCACCTAGGTCAGGTTGGGGCTCCTGATGGGACCCTGAGGGCTCAGGGCTGCTGACTGCGCCCTGACACCTGTCCCTGAGCTGGCCACAGTGTGGCTACTCTGGCGCACTTGTCTATGTACATTTGCTTTCTCCTAATAAGAGGGTAAAGGAGGGTAAGAGCATGAAAGAGAAAGGATGGATACGAACTCTTTTTCTTTTTTTAAAAAAGGAAAATCTTTCAGATCTTTAAAAGATCTCAGAGCATTATATGCACACTTAATTCAGGAACAGATTTTCAAGCCAGCACACTATACTGTGCTCCCCAAATCAGCACCACCTGAGCCCCTGCCTCAGGGGTGCAGAGAGCTGGCGGCTGCCCAGACTTACAACACTTATTCACCCCTCCTACCTGACCTCAGGCTGCTTACAAACGCCTTCATGTCATCCCACACATAGCAACGCAGATTGGGGTGGGGAGGGTTCGAAGGATGGAGGACAGGAAAAGAAGACCATACAGGAGGGAATTAAGACAATAAAAAGCAGGAAGAAGTCCTTTTGATAAAAGGGGTGACCTCTCCCTTGGGGGACCCAGAAAGGTGCCGGGCAGGGAGGTGGAGATGAAACAGGCAGGCGATGAACTTGCTCACCTTGTTTTTTTCGGTAAGTTGTTGCTCCAAGCCCTGTTTCTCCTTCTGTAGTTGCCCTAGATCCATGGTCCCCACCTTGCCATTTGGGGTTCCCTCTGCAGCGGAAAACTGGTACTTGCGGTCCTTCCTGGCTTTCAGGGTTACCTGCAAGGTGGTGGCAGAGTCATGCCAGGTAATGCCCAAGATAAGCCATAAGCCTATGGGGAAGAGGAGCCAGCCTCACTCCAGACTTATGGATTGGTGCGCCAGTGGGCAGTTAGTCAGAAACCAGGTGGAAACGACAGAGAAGGTTCTGTGAGGTGTCTCCCAGAGGAAAATGGGCTTTTCCAGGCAGCACGTGACCACTAATATACACAGCCACCCACCATAGGCTCCTAATCAGGTGACCCATCCCTCCTTTAAAGGAAAGCTGAAGGCCTGGGGGGGGGGGGGGGGGCCCAAGAGGGGGGGGGGGGGGGGGGGGGGGGGGGCGAGCACACGACACATGATGCATGACACTTACGTGAGACTCGCTGACTGCGAGTGCCAGTCCCTGCTCCTCAACAGGCTCCTCGGCCCTCAGGTTCCTCAAAGCCTCCAGCTCGCTCTGCAGCTGGCGCATCTGCAGCAGGGCAGAGTCATGACCTAGGCCAGGCAGAGGGCAGGGGTGCACAGTGAGCTGACCTCTCACGGCCTGGGCCAGAAGCAGTGCACATGCTCAGCTGGGGTCGGCTGCTCACCTTGCTTCAGCTGAACAATCTCCTGCTCCTTCTGAAGAATCACTTCTGTTTTCTCCTGCAGACGCTGTTCCTGCACCTCGTTGAGTGCTGTCAGATTGGCAGCCTGGGGGAGAGAAAAAGAGATGTGAAGGAGGGTTAGCAGTGCTAACTCCATCTTCCCACGTTCCCCAAGAGTTTTGAACGCCTCCCTTAGGTCTAGAACATACCCAAGCTAGCCTCTGTCCTACAGACACAGATACATTAATTCTCCTTGGCAGGGGCAGCGAATGCTTCTCTCTGCTCCTCTGTCCTGCAGTGTGCTAATCCCAGCCACGGCCATCCTGCCCTCCAACAAGCTGTATACCCGCAGCTCTCATGTCCTGAGCGCCTGCGTCAAGCCTCGCCCAAGGGGGGGCATTTGACATGCATTTGATCATTATGAAACTTCGAGAGCTGTGATTATGCTAGATTCCTTCTCGGAAGTGACTCTGAGGACTTGCAAAAGGTCGGAGAGGCAGTGACCTGGAGGATCTGGGGCCTGAGGTGGAATCTACCTTCTCAGGGAGCCCCCACACTTCCTGCTGATAGATATGTCAGCCTACAGTGTCTGCGCAGCCTTGCTGTGGCACCGGGGCCTGGGGCTAGCAGTGGAGTACCTCTCAGCTAAAACCTGGAAGGGATGGGCATTTTTCCAGGTGATGTTTCTTTCTAAGAATAACTGGCCATCGGAATCAGAGGAGGGCATCCTCTGGAAGGGTATTTGTTGCTTCTACCTCCTGGACACCACAGGAACCACTCTGCCCACGCCAACCTGGCCGTCTGGAACTTCTCTGCCACCCCTAGAAGCCCTGCCCGAGCCCTACCTGCTGCTGGAGCTCTTCCCTTCCTTTCCGCACCTCCTCCAGAGCTTGAGCCATTGCCACGCTGACAATTTCTCGTTGGCTCCATTCTTCCTACAATCCAGAAAACAGGGAGTTGGGGGGGGGGGAGACCATGGACCTGAAACGAGTTCACATCTTCTTAGCTGCACATGTCCCCTGCAGTTCCCACAGAGGGAACACTGCCTTGCATGATCAAGCACACATTCTTCCTGCTTCTGAAGCTTCCCAGGCTGTCCTTCTGCTGCAAGGCCTCCGGTAGTCCCCTGGCAACTGTCTCTGTGGACAACCTGAGCTCTCTGGGAGCAGGCACAGCACTGAGGTTCCTTTGTCCCATGAGCACAGCGCCTAGTCTTAGACCAAGCCTGCAGGAGTTGGGCCAGGAATTGAAGCGCCAGATCAAGAGTGCATTCTTTACCCAGGACAAGTACCAAGGGTCAGGAGAGGAAGAGGACTGGAAGTAGGACACATGGACTCATGTTGAGCAGAAAATGTGTCTGAACTGTGCAATGTTAAACTGATGATGTGTTCTGTAAGCCTTCACCTAATGCACAAAAAGCTAAAAGCCAAAACAAAACAAAAACTATACAGCTGCCTCGTAGCATATTGAAATTGGACCCCAAGTACATAACACTGGAGAAAGCATAACAAACGAACAGAAGAGCTCGTCTAATGAAATCAATAAAGAACAAGAAAAAAGACTAGAAGCAATAAGAAATAATTACTGAATGCTTAACAAGGAAAAATGCCACGGGCTCATCGACATTACCACATAGGAGAGAAACTTGGGGATCTGAGAGGCTTCGTAATTTTCCCAAGGTCTTGGAGCTAGAAAGTAGCACAGGCAGATTCAAGTATCTCTGAGCGCGAGCCAAAGCACCTGACTACTAGGTTCTTCCACCACGAACAGGTAGAAGTCCCGCCCTGGCCTTCTCCAGAGCACAGGGAATATGCCCCCAAGGCAACATACACCCTCGGCCTCTTCCCTGATGCTACTGTCCCTGTATGGCCAATCCATCCCCTACACTATGGCTTTTGAGATATCTGAATACTGCTCAGGGGGAGGTCTTGGTGAAACTGTGAGGTGGGTGTCCACTCAGAGTCTCTCGGCTCTTTTTGGAGCTAAGAGTTATCATTTCTGCTTCTTATCCACATCCCACAACTCTCCGAGATTCTGGCAGGGCTGCCATTCAAGATATTCCACCAATGGCTACAGGGATAAGCATGGGCTTTAGGCCTGGCTAATCCGAGTACTCTATCCTCTTGGCCAAAACAACCTGTCCCCAAAGTAGGGCTTTGGTCACTGTGGCAGTTACATAATCTCCTGTCAACTTGAGCAAAGGGATGGAGTCTCGTCCGTCAATCAGGTCGCAGCTTGATGACCTCATTTGGAGATAAATAGCTCATTGGAGGCCAGACCCACTCTCTCTGCCTTCCCTTTCCTGCTGTTGGGGCACTCAGAGAGCTGGAGAAGACACGTGGAAACCTGCGCCAGCAATGAGATGCTTCCACTGCCACTGGAGCCACAAGACCTTCTAGCCTGTAATCTTCCAGCATGCGGCATCATTGCATGTGATGTGTGAGTCTAAAGAGGAATTTATGGACCAGTATCAGACATATGGGCTACCATAGGACTTATGGACTTGATCTGGACTGGGCTGGGATGTTTTCTCAATATACAATTACTCTTTTACATAAAGCTCTTTCTTATACACATATGCGTGTCTATGAACTTGTTTCTCTAGTCCACCTAGACTAACATAGTCACCAAGGTCACCAAAATTGACCAAGTGGAAACTTCCTTTACAACAGAACCCTTTTCATGTGGCAAAGCTGAAGGGACGGATCTCTCTCTCTGTGGAGTCACGAAGCTGGGAGGTTGCCTGCTTGAGCTGCTGTGGCAATGTCCCCAAATCTGGAGGAAGCAGTGTCGAGGGGAGGGGAGGCTGAAGAGACAAGCGTTGGGCTGATGCAGAAACACAGAGGACCTGTAGGGGACATCCTAGCTTCAGCCCAACACGTTTCATGAGCTACCCAATTCCTCTTATGAAACCTCCTTTCTAGTGAGCAGCACAGCTGGGTTAACGGAGGGAGACAGCAGCCTGTGACAAGCAGTATCTGAGGTCTACCCTGGAATGGTTGAGAGTTGTCCTTATTTATGGGAGCATGCCTGCCTCCCCCTCACTGCCCCCCAGAAGACATTTGGTGCCAGAACACAAAAGGCTGAGGATGAGACCTTGAAATATCCCAGACCAGTGGTTCTCAAGCTTCCTAATGCCACGACCCTTTCATACAGTTCCTCATGCTGTGGTGATCCCCCGCAAGAATAAAATTATTTTCGTTGCTACTTCATAACTATAATTTTGCTACTGTTATAAATCGGGTGACCCCTGTGAAAGGGTTGTTCGAATCCCCAAGGGGGTCGTGACCCACAGGTTGAGAACTGCTGTCCTAGACCATACGTTCCCAAGCTTATGTGGCCTACCACCCCTATTCAGAAAAAAAATTATGCAGTATTTCCTCGGCAATTACAAACGTATGTGTTTATATGCCAGGCCTTCTGCCTTCTCACGCTTTTCTGTGAGAAGACACTTATGACTGCTGGATGGCTAGAGACAGGGGGCCTGCCATGAGCTGGAGGACAGGAAGGCAGGCCAAGACAGAAGGGAGGCAGAGGCTCAAACCACCTTCCTGCTGGGGACCGGCGCCTGGCACTTTTCGTCCATGCTGTGTTAACCCTCAAAGTGTTTTCTGGAGGTCAAGCATGGTCCCTTTGAGTTTGGAGAAAGGAAAGGAGATTCCCTGCAGATCACCAGCTAGTGGGGACAAGTGCTGTTGCCACAGATGCGCATCAGAGCCAGGTCTGTGGGCTCCAAAGTCTCCGGGCACAGCTCAGGTTTGCAGCAGCACACACTATGGGCCGCACCACATAAGAGCCACCAGGCTCCCACAGGCAGCAGTCCTGGCATCTGGGAGCCATTTCCTGATTGAGGCTCAGAACAAATACAGAGATAACAGCAATTCTAAGTATGTGTGTAGATAATAACAGTTCTTCTTCTAAATGCAGGGAATAAAGATAGAAATAAAGGGAGGAATGGACAAATCTCCATTATTGTAATTGGAGACTGAGTACTACTATTTCAGTAATTGATAGAACAAGTAGACGAAAAAGTCAGAAAATAGATTTGGACAGTACTACCAAGAAAGACCACTGGTTGGCCACATCCCTCAGAGTACCTGACTAAATAATATTAAACTAGAAATCCCCTCTAGATTTAGGAATTAACCTCATTTCTAAATGGCTGCGGGCTGGTTTTGGACACCCACCCCTTTCTAGTTGGCTGTGTGATGTCCGGGTCTTCGGCTGGCTCGATACTAATCTCTGCCACCAGGGGGTGCTCAGGGAAATTGGAAGGCAGGAAGCCAAACCCATTGCCTTCCAGTGGATTCCGATTCCTGAATGGAGCAGAACTGCTCCAAGGGGATCCCAACGCTATCATCTTGATGGAAGCAGGCTGCCACATCTTTCTCCCATGGAGTGGCTAGTGGGTTCAAACCAACAAACGTTCAGCTAGCAGCTACGTGCTTTAACCGCTGTGCCACCAGGGCTCCAGGGGAAGGCAAAAGGAGGCAGATGCAGACGTGCTCCTTCCTGTCTGCTTCCTGTTTTGGTGAGCACTCCAGCAAAGCTTCCTCATCCACCGGACAGCAGCAACTTCTCCAGAAGCAGCAGCTGCATCTACTTCTCAGTTCCCGGCGCTGGGCAGCAGAGCGCAGCCAGCGCACCCTCCCCTAGAACATAACCCAACACCCAAACTGTGCAGTGCCCCTTCCTCAGGGCTCCCGGGTTGAGTAACGTCAGCCTCTGTACCTCCTTCCCCGGGCCCTACAGCTAGCAATGGTGTTCTACAGTTGTCGCTGCCTCCCCTGACCTCTGACTGGTTGGGCACCTGGTTAAAAATGCTATTTTGGTTTCAAATACTCTATATTCTCCCAATTCAGGTAACTAATAAGGTTTCTATTTTTTGGACTAGACTGTGAATGACATATTGAGTCAAAGAAGAAACCATGGGAAATTTGAAAGTATTTTGAAGTGATTCATAATAAAACACAATCTAAAATATGAGAGAAGCAAAGTAATGCTTAAGGAAATTCTACAGCTAAATGTCTATATTAGAAATGAAGGGGTGACCAGCCTGCATGATCACAAGGTGCCAAAGGGATCAATTACTGGTATTGAAGAACAAAAAATCATATCATTGAGTGCTCACCTCCCCATACAATCGCTGAATGGGTGCATAAGCAAACGTGAAGAAAGCTAATGATGCCTGGCTATCAAAAGAAACAGCGTCTGGGGTCTTAAAGGCTTGAAGCTAAACAAGCGGTCATCTAACTCAGAAGCAACAAAGCCCACATGGAAGAAGCACAACAGTCTGTGATCAAGAGGTGTCAAAGGGATCAGGTATCAGGCATCAAAGAACAAAAAAAATTGCATCATTGTGAATGAAGGGGAGTGCGGAGTAGAGACCCAAAGCCCATCTGTAGGCAATTGGACACTCCCTTATAGAAGGGTCACGGGGAGGAGACAAGCCAGTCAGGGTGCAATATAGCAACAATGAAACATACAACTTTCCTCTAGTTCCTAAATGCTTCCCACCCCCCCCACCCCCCACTATCATGATCCCAATTCTACCTTACAAATCTG